TGCCAGCAGTGCGCAATTGCACATGCGCGCAGCTTAGAGGGAACATTGGAGCTGAGTAAAATGTGAGTATAAATTAAATGGAGAAGTTTTGCTCACTCCCAATTTTGTCTTTTGGTTTCATTTAAAGTAATGTAAATAGTTCCTCTGTTGATCTGAGCAATGCAGCTCTGCAGAATAAACTCCCCACAGAACCTGAGTTATTTCAGGCTGAGTCCATCCTGCATCCTTAAGCCCTCACAGGGCATCCTGCCAGTCCGATTTGCCTCTCTGACCTGCACGGGACTCTCCGGGTGAGACTGTGCACGTGTGCATCCATGTGTTTCCATTCAAACAATCGTGTGCATGTTCACGATTCTTGAATGTGAGTGTGTTAGGTAGATAGAACCTAAATAATCTGCTTCCTGTTTCATGTGTGTGAAACACATGTCAGCTCAGTCATTCAGAGGACCACTGCTCCTCCACACTGAAAGGAGTCGGCTGAGGTGGTTCAGGCATCTGATTAGGAGGCCTCCAGAGTGCCGAGGTGTTCCTGGCATGTTCTATCACGAGGAGGTCCTAGGGTAGATCCATGACACCCTGGAGCAGTTACAGATTTTTGGGTGGCTACATCTGATATACTCCTGGGCACTACTAACAGAGAGCCAACAAGCAATTTTTTTACCTTTTGGTGGGTTTTTTTCCTCTCATGCACAAAATATCCAGATTCTTTTTAGGAGATGCATCTTTTTATCATGAAATAACAACTACAGTTTGACTTTATCACTCTTTGATCTTGATCAAAGAGTTAGCTCACCAACATGTCTTCAAGTTCTCTAGAGGCCTGGTAATGAACTAATCATTTGATTCAGGTGTGCTGACCTAGGGTCAGCACATCTCTTTGATCTTGATCAAAGAGTGACCAGACTGAATAGACGAATGTCTAACTGGGCCTTCACTAAGGTGGGTGCCAGATAAACAGTCTATGCTTAACCTTGGGAGTGGACTGATGTAGCATAGTGAGACATTTACACTTTGAGTTGCTGTGTCGAGGATGAAACTGACGACAGTGACCTCACTCGTACCGTGTTTACCTGCGTGAGCGTGTCTGCAGTAAGCCCGTATCAGTCTGAGTGTGATGTCTGCTGTGTGGCTGCTCTAACAGGATTATCCTGCTCCCAACATTCTGTCTATTCTTACACCGCTTGTCTACTTAAACCTCTTATCCGTTGTGCGAGGAGCTGTGCGATTACGGCGTTCACAGGCTAACAAGTTCATTTCATCATCGCCTATAAACAGACCCTTTAGTTGCCTTGATTCGATTTATCAGTCATTATCTCTGCACTGCTGTAAGCATCCCTGTAATCTCTGCTCCTCCAGGCTCTCACACTCCCGAGTTCCCTCAGTGTTTTATTAATAACAACTGTGCATTTTAATAAAGATCTGCATCGAGCACTAATGGCATGGCACACACAATACCTGCATCAGGGGTGTCGAACTCCAGCCCTCAAGGGCCGGTGTCCTGCAGGTTTTAGATCTCACCCTGGGTCAGCACACCTGAATCAAATGATTAG